TCCCCTTCTGTTTCCTCATCCCCTTCTGGCAATCATATGGTATTTACTCTCTGGCCAGAGCTAGCCCAGCGGTGGCCTGTGTTTCTTCCTGCTGGGGAAAGGAGAATTGCTGGGGCCAGTATCATGGGGGGCCAGGCTCTCTCCTCACCAGTGCCTCTGCCGGCCCCTGTCGCTCCACAGCTCTGCTCCCAAGGGCTGCACGACCTTCGGCATCACAGCCTCCCCAGGAGTGGTCGTAGATGTCGCCCACAGTCCCCCAGCCAAGAAGAGCATCACTGGTGTCTCCAAATGGCCTCTGGACCCCCAGCTGGAGGTGACCCTACAGGTCAAGGCAGCCAGCAGTAGCACAGATGACCAAAAGGTGGGTGTGATGATTGGGGTGGGGGTGGGGACCTGCTGGGTGGGGTGGAGGGCTGAGGGTGGGGTGGATGAGGGGAGCAGTGAGGGAATGGGGTGAGTGAGGTGGGGGTTGAGGGTACGGTGGGGTAGGTTGGGGGACTGATGGATGGGATGGGGTGAGGCCTGGTGGGGGGGGGCTGAGGATGGGAGACATCAGCCCCCCAGCTCTTGCACGTGGGAACTCTTTGCTTCCATGCACAGGGCTCACCCTGGGAGAGCCCCCTTCCCCGACCAAGTTCTCAATCGCTCATCCCTCCACAGTGCCCACACTGACAGCACATCCATCCTTGCCATTCTTGTCCTCATCCCTGGGATCAAACACCCGATAAAAACTGGCTTAAGGAAGGCAGGGCTCATTGTGGCTTACACTTAGGGGCACAGTCCATCATGGTAAGGACGGCACAGTGACCAGAGCCTGAAGCAGCCGGTCACATGGCATCCGCAGTCAGGAAGCAGAGAGAGAGGAATGCTGGTACTCAGCTCGCTCTCTCTTTCCCCCCTCCATTGAGTCTCAACTCTAGCTCACCAGACGGTGTCACCACAACCAGAGTGGACTTCCCCGCCTCAGCTAAACCTCTCTAGAAACACCCTCCTAGGGACACCCAGAGGTGGGTCTTCCAGTTCTAAACACAATGTTCACAATGAAGCTTGCAGGGACCTGTGAAGGGGGGGTCAGGGTCAAGTTCATCCACTGGGCGACTCTTTAATAAACAGCCTCTCATGCAGACATGAGCAGGGCGCTGGGGTGAGGGGACTACAGTCCTGGGGGCTTTGAGTAATACACAGGTAGACAAACATTAGCTGTGGCTGTGAAGTCTCTGAAGGTCACAGGCAGGGAGCCACCAGGAGCACCTTCTGTGCCTCAGTGTTGCAGCACATCCTCACAGCCGTACAAAAAGATGATTTCACAGCACTTGCAGGTTTAGAAGACAGGTGTGAGCAGTGTGGCCCCCTGTGGCTCCCTTGAGGGTCACTCTCACTTTCTCCTGGCTCCTGTCACATGGCAGTCAGCATTCCCTGGGGTGTGGTCACTTGCTCTGGTCCCCCAGCCTCCTTTTCTTATGGGTGCTTTTCTTGTTGGGACACGTGCCACTGGACTGAATTTGAGGGTCATCCTTAACTTAGATCCTTAGAGACTTTGCTCCCAGTGCCTCATTCACAAATTCCAAGAGTGAGGATGGGCCCCACCTATGTTCCCCTTCTCCACAAGACCCTCTTGGGGTTCCCTGGAGGAGCAAACCCAGTTTGGTCTTTCCTGGGGGCCAAGTTCTGTGGCCCACCCTAGAAACACAGAGCTTGGGTGTCCAGCAGGTGTGGTCACTTCCCTAAAGAAGTGTTAAGTTGAAGGATGGAACCAAAGGCCAGCCTGTGAGAGAGCTGGAATACCGAGGTGGCCCCTGGGCTGACCCTGGATAAGGAGATGGCAAGACACAATTTGGGGGCGCTGAAAAAGTCCTGTATGACAAAGATGGAGGGAGGAGAGAAGGGTGAGGGAGACAGGGACCACCTTATCTTCCCTCCTTCCCTTTCTCCACCCTTTGCTCCACTTTTCCTGTGTTTTGAGACAAGTTCTCATTAATTAATCTGAGCTCAAATCTCAGTCCCCCTGCCTCAGGCTTCTCCAGTGCTGGGATAAGACTTGTGCCACCACACAAGGCTAAGGACCCCATTTTCTGGAGGACACGGGAAGCCAGAGAAAAGTTCCTCCCAAAGATGTTACTGGCTGGCACAAAGCAAGTAGCCTGCAACTAGGGAGCGGTCTGGAGGCCCAGAGCCTGGATGGAAAGGAACACCAGGGTCCAGAGAGTACAGAGGAGAGGCCATGATTCCATCATTCTCCAGGATAACCACCGTCTGTAGGACAGGACCTAACACCTCAGTGTGTCCTCTCAGGGGCTCCTCTCCTCCTCCTCCTCCTGCCCTCACCCACCATCGACCCATCCCCCCCCCCCCCCCCCCGCCAACCCATTCCCACATCCTTCCCCCCACTCCACGACCCACCCCAGCCTCCTTGTTTGGATGCTGCCTAGAGACCTGATGCTCTCCAACTGGGTACTGTGAGAGACAACTTGAAGGCCTGGCCTTCTGTTGCAGAAGACCAGTTCCCCGGCCACCACCTACTCCTTCTTTCCCTCTTATGCCTCTTGCACCTCATTTCCGGCTGCTGAGTGCCTATGTTGGGCACAAAAGCCCACTTACCAAGGAGGGGGTCACCCCAAGAGACCACTCTCATACCACAGTTGATACAAAAGCAAGAGGAATTTTTATTCCTGGCACCACAGGGTCCCTCAGCCTAGAAAGGGGAAGGACCCCAAGTGGCTGTTACAGGCTACTTTTAAAGGAAAAAAACCACAGAATCAAAGGGGAAGTCCAGGAGTCATTTGTCAGTTATTGCGACTAGCTCGTTTAATGGTCAGCTAACTATAATTGGTCAATGCCACGGCAGTTGCTGAGTTGGTTGAGCGAGGATAAACACCTGCAGGTCATCTGCAGGTCGTTTTGCCCCAGTTCCAGGGCCTGGGTCTAATTGAAGAAAAACTAGAAAGGGGATGGAGAGTTCCTGGGAAAGTACCCAAAGCTCCAAGCTCCAGTGCACGTGTGGGTGATTATCAGGTTCCTGGTTCCCAGGGAAGGGGGGCAGAAATGCTCAGATGCCCCAGAGTCTTTCCCCTACTCCCCTTCTCAGGCTACACATTGTCCTTGTCGGGGTTACCATTGCTGTGATGAAACACCATGACCAGAAACAAGTTAGGGAGGAAAGGATTTATTCGACGTCCATTTCCACGGCACTGTTCCTCACTGAAGGAAGCCAGGACAGGCACTCACACGGGACAGGAACCTGGAGGCAGGAGCTGATGCAGAGACCAGGGAGGGGTGCTGCTTACTGGCACACTCAGCCTGCTTTCTTGTAGAACTCAGGACCTCCAGCCCAGGGATGGCCCTACCTGCAATGGGCTGGGCCCTCCCCCACCAATTACTAATTTTTTTTTAAAAGTCTTCTAGCTAGAACTTTCTCAATATAGGTATTTTCTCAATTGAGGTTTTCTCCTCTCAGATAACTCTGTATTGTGTCAAGCTGACAGCCAATAAACACCTCCTTGTGAAGTCTTCCCTCGCCCCTTTCTCTGGCTGAGTGGATCCTCCATTCCTGGACTCCCTTGGGACCCTTTTCTAAAGCATCATCGTTAGCTGAGTTGAACTGGATTAAGCCGGCACACAGCAGGACTCCGTGTATATATTGTTTGTGTTTTAACAAATAAAGCTCGCCTGAAGATCAGAGTGCAAAGCTAACTCTAGGCCAGGCAGTGGAAGCACACACCTTTAATCCCAGGACTCAGAGGACAGACTGATCTCTGTTAGTTCAAGGCCACCCTGGACTACAGGAAATTGACCCAGTCTAAAAGAGAAACAGCTCACACAAAGGTGATCCCAGCACTTAGGATCACACGCCTTTAATCCCAGCGCAAGGGAGGTGGAGACAGGAGTGATATGGTTGGGCAGAGAGAGGAATATAAAACAGGAAGAAACAGGAGCTCAATGCCATATGAGGTATAGTGCAGTCGGAGGCAGTCTGAGGACAGGACCGCCCCTTGGTCTGAACACTGGTAGAAATAAGAACTCTCTAGTGACTGGCCGCTTCTCTGATTGTACAGCTTTTACCCCCTGATAGTTGACTTCGAGTTTTTATTATTAAGATCAATTAGAATTTGTGCTGCAGGGGCTGGAGAGATGGCTCAGGGGTTAAGAGCACTGATTATTCTTCCAAAGGACCCAAGTTCAATTCCCAGCACCCATATGGCAGCTCACAACTGTCTGTAAGTCCAGTTCAGGGATATGACACCCTCACACAGACATACATGCAGACAAAACACCAATGCATATAAAATACAAATAAATAAATCTTTTTTAAAAAAAGAATTTGTGCTGCAGCTCAGACTGTTTTTGGAATGACTAATGAAGTCATGAATGGTCTGTTATTGTCTTATAGGTTCGAATTTCATACTATGTACCCAAGGCCTCACCGATCCAAGCCCTGCTGTACCTCACTGGGGTGGGTAAGTGATGACTAGGGTCCCAAAGAGCTGCCCAAGGGTGCACACCTTTAATCCCAGCTCTTGGAGGCAGAGGCAGGCAGATCTCTGTGAGTTCAAGGTCAGCCTGGGCTAAATACTCAGATACTGTCTCAAAAAGAAAGAAAGGGAGGGAGGGAGGGAGGGAAGGAGGGAGGGAGGGAGGGAGGGACCGTAGATCTGCCTTCTGTCTCCACACAGCACATCCCCACCAAGCAGGGCATCTTTCCAAGACACAACATGACTAGAGCTTACTTTAGAGCAAGCAAAGAAAAACGACCATTTCTAGCTAGCCATCCATCCAGTAATTCTTAAGTTCTCCTTCCCTAGAGAGTGAGCACAAAGAAACACAGATGGGGGACTGGGGGTGAGGGTGGAGTGTTCGCTTAGGTAGCATGAAGCCTGAGGTTTGACACCCAGTGCTGCATATGCCTGGTGTGGGGTGCACATCAGTACTCCCAGACCTTGAGAGGTAGAGGCAGACGGGTCAGAGGCTCAAGGTCGCCCTCAGCTACAGACGAGTTTCCAGCTATGGGATCCCCGGTAATTAGTTAATATAAGTGCAGGTGAAGGCTCACGTCACAGTGTAATAACTGACTTCTCAGGCTAGGAAGTAGGGGCCTGGATTCTATGCACAAATTTCTATACCTTTTTAATGCTTCATTATGTGTGTGTGTGTGTGTGTATAGCTTTTTGTTTTGTTTTGTTTTGTTTTTCGAGACAGGGTTTCTCTATAGCTTTGGAGCCTATCCTGGAACTCACTCTGTGAACAAGGCTGGCCTCGAACTCACAGAGATCCTCCTGTCTCTGATTCCTGAGTGCTGAGATTAAAGGTGTGCGCCACCATTGCTCCACTCATATTATAGTTTTTATAGCAGATAATTCTGTGTTCCCCAAATCCCATTGTTTACGTTTCATTTTTATCATATCAATAACCCATTTAAACACACGTACTTGTATTTCTTTTGTATTCATCTTTAATAGAACCTATCCCTGTGACTGGGGAGATGGCCCAGTGGTTGAGAGCGTGTATTGCTCCAACTGAGGACCTGAGTTTGACTCCTAGTACCCACATCAGCTGGGTCACAACCACCTGTTAACTCCAGTTCCAGAGGATGCAGTGCCCTCTTCTGGCCTCCACAGGCAACTACACTCATATACCCCACCACCACCACCACCACATACACACATAACACATAAATAAAATAATAAAATCTTTTTAAAAGTTCATTCTTAGAATCACAGAGTTCAGGAGCTAGACGCTAGCTTGGAGAACATAGTGTGAGACCTTATTTCTCAATTTTTAAAAATTAAATAGATTTTTAATGAGAACTCAACCTGAACAATCTACTCTTTTTATTTAAGTGTGTATTAAATGTATAAATAGCTATGAAGTCTCTGGGTGTTATCTCAATGATGAGCTTCACTCATGAGTATAGATTTAAATAAAATGGGGCTTACTCTAACGCCAGAACCTGGACTGAGATATTGCATTTAATTCTTTTTTTTTTTTTAGTTTTATTTTTTTTTAATTTTTTTTTATTGAGAATAAGAAAAAAAAAGTTTCCGCGTCCTCCCAGCCTCCCATTTCCCTCCCCCTCCCCCCTTGCATTTAATTCTTACAATAATCCAGGGAACTTGACCCCATGATCCCATTTCACTGATTAGGAAACTGAGGCTCAAGGAACTGCTTGCTGAGAGGTGGGGAAGCCAGGAGTACCGTGATAATTCTATGTCCCTAATTCATGCATATTAGTGGATCTGCTAAGGCACAATAGTAAAAGGTCATATCGCCTCTCTCGTGCAGGCCATGGTCCCTGTGTCCCACTGTGGGGCACACGGGTCTACATTATTCAAGCAACTGTGGTCTGATTTGCTGCTAGAGGGAAGGAGTTCACAGACACACCTGTCTCTTGTTTTGACATTTGCACAGGGTAGGCTTGGGGAGCGTGAGTTTTTTCCCTGACACAGACACACGTGAGAAACAAGGACCAGATGAAGACTGTGGGTTGAGGTTGGGGGATGGGGGCAGAGTTCTTGGAGAAATTGGCAAGGTGACCTGGCAGGTTGTGGCGGCTTCACTGGGGGTGGCTGGGAGTTGCTTTGGCATCACAGTCATGGCTCCCCGAGGAAGGCAGAACTTTGTTCTCTGAATTGTAGTGTGGCTTCTTGGAGACAAAGGGTGGAACAGAGAAACTCCTGTCCTCGGGGCCGACCGTCAGGGCCAGTTTGAGAGCCTTGCAGCTCACGCTCACCAACTCTCCCCTCTCACGCCCATTTCAGAAATCTCCCTGAGCACAGATGTCACCCGCACTGGCAAAGCCGGCAAAGCGAAGCCTGCTAGGGCTGGGAAGGATCAGGTGAGGCTCAAATGTCCATCAGTACGCGCTTTAGGGACATGGTGCGTGCCTATCGCGCCCCCTGGTGGTGGCAGGCTGAACAGCGGCACCTCTCCGGCTTTAGGGACGTGGTGCGCGCCTATCGCGCCTCCTGGTGATGGCTGAACAGCGGCATCTCGCCAGCTTCTCGTGTTAACTTGTAAGGTTCCCTAACCAGGAAATAACTGGTGACCTTGTGGCGTAGGCATATTTCATCTCTTTTACAAGGTCATATTTACAACCAATTGTGGGTTCAGAAATGGTGTTAGCCTACAAGCTGGAATCTCTAGAGTCACCCAGGTGATGGGTCCCAGACTTTAATGGCTGATAGCTGAGTTTCCCACTGAGCTGTGTACAGGGGTGTGTGGTGGTGAGTGACGGGGAAGGGAAGAGAGACAGGGGTGGAGGGAGAGAGAAGCGAGGCATGGCCGGGAGTGTGTGTTGCAGAAAGATGGTGGATCGGGGTAACCGTAGGGTCTACTATTAACCCAGGGTCCTTGGAACTTCAGAACTGCCTGCGTGACTTTGTGTTGGTGGCTAGTGTACACTTAGGCAGGCTCCAAATGATGAAGTCCATCAATAGTAGGGGAAGGGGAAGTGTGTGGCTTACAGGGCTCACCTAGCATCGTAATTTATCCAATATTGCTTAATCTATCGTATTATGATAGATCTCTACAGGCCGGGCCACCCAGAGTTAGTTCATCATTGGGCGGAGGGTTTCTGGTACCAAGAGTAGCACTCACATCAGGAAGGAGTGATTTATTTGGTCACATGAGAGTAGTTGTATGGATTAGAATCTTGATTTCTTATGTATTTGATTCCGTTTTTTTGTTAAGCCAATTTTTTTAAGGCTTTTAAAGTATATTTTACTATCAGTCTCCTTTTTTAAAAAAACAAATGGATGACCTGAGGCTGGGATGACCTGAGGCTGGGATGACCTGAGGCTGGGATGCAGCTTAGCTGGTAGAGGTGCCTAGCATGCACGGAGTCCGGGGTTCAACACCCAGCACCTCACAGACTGGGTGTGGCGGCACAGGCCTGTGATCTCAGCTCTCAGAGGTGAGGATTAGAAGTCGAAGCTAGCCTTGTCTTTAACAAACCACAAACACCTCTGACTCATATCCAGATTTGCTTATATCTGGAGCCATCAGAAATCCACTCTTTGGGCCCATGAGTTGCTGAATGAGAGAAACAGGCAAAGTGGGAGATAGGAAAAAAACAAAAAACAAAAAAATAGCACTGTCTCTCCCAAGGGCTGATGGGATCTGAGAGAGTTACCATAGCGTCTTTTTGCCCTTCTGATATTCCCAGAGCACCTGGACCTGGGGCCCGTGTGGCCAAGGCGCCATCCTCTTGGTGAACTGTGACAAGGAGAACCCCACGTCCTCTAGAATGGACTTCGAGGATGACATGGTCTTGGACAACAAAGGTAAAGAACAAAGGCCATGGCCTGGTCCCGGGACAAGGGCCTCGCCTCGCCGTCAACAAGGCTCACTTGCCCATGTGGTTTTGTAAGGTAGCCCCTGACTTTGGGAAGCACGCTTGTGTTAGCATGTCAGAGGAAGGAACGGAAAAGTGTCCCAAGAGAGTAAGTGACCCGCTAAAGTCGCACAGCAGTCCGAAGAGACCAGTGTGGGCTCCTGATGCCCCAAGAGGCTCTGCTTTCCATGCTGGCCCCTGTCTAGCCCTATCTGGGCATGGCTCAGACATGAGGCCCAAATTTAATTAAAAAAAAAAAAAGGAGTGCTGGTCCCCAAATATTGCACAAGATCCCAGTGCCTAACGGATGGGGAAACTGAGGCACAGAGAAGTTAAGAAATTAAGACAAGGGTTAGAAGCCCGGAGGTGGTGGCGCACGCCTTTAATCCCAGCACTTGGGAGGCAGAGGCAGGTGGATCTCTGTGAGTTCGAGACCAGCCTGGTCTACAAGAGCTAGTTCCAGGACAGGCTCCAAAACCACAGAGAAACCCTGTCTCGAAAAAGCAAA